GCAGAGCCAGCCAGCCCCTGCCTCCTCCTCACAGCCCCACTCACAGCCTCCGCTCCACAGCCAGGCCCAGCCTGCCCCGCACAGCCTGCAGGCCCAGCCCCTCCTGCCTCATCCCGTCCCTTCCCAGCCGTTTTCCCTCCCCACTCAGTCATCTCAGTCTCAGGTTCCCCTTCAGACACAAGCACCGTCTCATTCTCACTCCACTCTCCAGGTAACGCAGCCTGTCCTGCCAACTGCAACCTCGCTGCAGCAGGCTCAGCCTCCGCGGGAGCAGCCCTTGCCGCCTGCACCCATGGCCATGCCTCATATCAAACCTCCCCCTACTACTCCAATCCCTCAGCTCCCCACTGCTCCATCCCACAAGCACCCTCCTCATCTCTCTGGCCCTTCTCCATTCTCAATGAACTCCAACTTGCCTCCCCCGCCTGCTTTAAAGCCTCTGAGCTCCCTCTCAACTCATCATCCTCCATCTGCACACCCTCCCCCTTTGCAGCTGATGCCTCAGAGCCAGCCACTGCAGTCTTCACAAGCCCAGCCTCCTGTGCTGACGCAGAGTCAGAGCCTTCCTCCCCCTGCTAACCACCCCCCATCTGGACTCCATCCGGTATCCTCCCAGCCCCCCTTTTCTCAGCATCCATTTGTCCCAGGAGGCCCACCTTCCATCACCCCTCCTTCTTGCCCCTCCACTTCCACGCCACCCACTGTGCCTGGCATCCCACTTCAGACTTCCATCTCCACATCGGCAGCGTCTAGTGGAAACGTGCCCGTGGTGACAGCCTGCACACTACCACCTATTCAAATCAAAGAAGAAGTCCCAGATGAAACTGAGGAGCCAGAAAGCCCTCCCCCTCCACCCAGAAGTCCATCACCAGAACCTACTGTGGTGGATACACCAAGTCATGCTAGTCAGTCGGCCAGGTACGGAGGTTGTCATCAGTGCTTCCTTAATGTGCTCTGGTTTTGTCTGGAAGCAGGATGTGGGACCCGAGTGTATTCTACCTGCACGTCTTGTCGGCCTCTCTTCCTGGCATGATCTTGCTCTGTGTTTCCTGGAGAGGTGCAGTTTCAGACAGCTTGTACTTGTGAGAGGGGTTTTATACTGTATTGTCTGTGGAGTATTATGGTACGATGAGTTTTCTTTCAGGGGAGCTGATAGCACTGTTGTAGAAGTGTCTTGCCTTGTATCACTTGTATAAGTGATACCGTGGTTTTGGTTTCATTGACATGAAACTCTTGCATCTTTCCCAAGGCTAAGCTCTTTCTCTTCTGTTTCTTTCAGGTTCTACAAGCACCTGGACCGTGGCTACAATTCATGCTCAAGAGCAGACTTATATTTCATGCCACTGGCAGGGTCAAAACTGGCCAAGAAGAGAGAAGAGGCCATTGAAAAAGCCAAAAGGGAAGCGGAGCAGAAAGCCAGAGAAGAGAGAGAAAGAGAGAAAGAAAAAGAGAAGGAAAGAGAGAGGGAGCGGGAGCGGGAAAGAGAAGCGGAAAGAGCTGCGGTAGGTTGATTTGTAGCTAAGAGCTGTTTAAGGGAGTTGGTGGGATCTGTCCTGGATGGTGACTACAGAATGCACATCCCAGAAGCACTCTAATGTGTGTGCAAGCAGGTGTTTGTGAATATGGGAGCCTTGTGTATTAGGTGAAAGCCAACCTGCTAGGAGCACCTCCTGTCCTGCCCGTGACTTTCTTCTCTTTAAAGGAACTGGAGAGCTTCTGCTCCTGCTCTGTTTCTGATGTGCAGGAAGCCAGTGCTGCTGGGGATAACCAGGCCAAGTGTTTACATCTGCTTGCAGTAGAAAAGCACCCTGTGCAGGCACAGTGAATGCCTTTGTGTACCTCGTCCTGCTGTGCAGGCACGGGAATGCTGCCTGCTGGAAAACGCAGATCTGAAGGCTCTTTAAGTTGGAAGTAAACTTCATTAACTCTTCTTATGGGGAGACCCAAACCCGAGCCTTGGCATAAAGAGCAAATAAAACAAATCCATCATTCTGTGGCCTGTTGGAAAGGAATGATTACTTCTGGGCCCACACAATTGGTAGGTTGGTAATACATTCTTGATGCTGGAAAAGAAGGTGCTGAAGTCTATTCTGCATTTCAGAGATCTGAATCGTAGCTGTGTGCTTCTGTAAGATTATAAAAGTCAGGATATAGCATCTGTCCGTTAAGGAATGTGTCATTATAAGGACTTCATTTAGGGAATAGGGATCCTTGGGCAATTGCAAGGGTAAAATGTACTTACTGCCCTTCACAGAAGTGCTCTGCTGCCCTTGTACAGGAGGGGAGAGCAGGACGCAAGGTCCTGATGTGAAAGGAGTGGACTTTGTTGTGTTGCACATTGTGCAGATGAGCTTCCTTGGGTTTAGTCTGGTTTAGGACACAAGTGTGCGTGGAGAGGAGAGGAAGAACACACTGCTTCCCCCTACAAGGTAGTTATCTCCTGGCCTACCGGCTAGACAGAACCCACTTCTCCCCCAAATGACACTGGAGCACACAGCTGCAGGAGTCACAGGGCCCAACAGGCTGAACTCGCCTCCTCTTAGCAACTTGAAGCACAAGAAGGGCAGTTTGTGCCTGCTCCAGTTTTAAGCCACGTGTGTTGCAGTAAAGTTCTTTTTCCCCTTTCTGTGCAGCAGAAGGTATCCAGCTCCTCCCATGAAGGCCGACTCGGGGAGTCTCAGCTCAGCGGGCCAGCACACATGAGACCTTCATTTGAACCTCCACCGACGACCATTGCTGCTGTACCACCTTACATTGGTCCGGATACACCCGCTTTACGAACACTAAGTGAATATGCCCGTCCTCACGTCATGTCGCCAACAAACCGCAACCATCCCTTCTTTGTCCCCCTAAACCCCACTGATCCACTTCTGGCCTACCACATGCCTGGCCTCTACAACGTGGATCCCACCATTCGGGAACGAGAGCTGCGAGAGCGGGAAATCCGGGAGCGAGAAATCCGGGAAAGGGAGTTGAGAGAGAGGATGAAACCTGGCTTTGAGGTGAAGCCCCCAGAGCTAGATGCACTGCACCCAGCTACTAACCCCATGGAGCATTTTGCCAGGCACGGTGCTCTGACTATTCCGCCAACAGCAGGACCTCACCCATTTGCTTCCTTCCATCCGGGTTTGAACCCCCTTGAAAGAGAGAGACTTGCACTGGCAGGCCCGCAGTTACGGCCTGAAATGAGCTACCCCGACAGACTGGCAGCAGAGAGGATACACGCGGAGCGGATGGCATCGCTGACAAACGACCCCCTGGCACGGCTCCAGATGTTCAACGTCACACCTCACCATCACCAACACTCACACATACACTCGCATTTACACCTACATCAGCAGGATCCCTTACATCAAGGTGAGCCTAGGGAATTGGGCTGGGCAGGTAACTGGGAAACCTCTCTCCTGAGCTGTTAGCAGTGGTCTGTCTGGAACAGGCAGACTGTGACTCTGGAATTCAAGCAGCAAACCCCTGTTTTAACGTATACAACGTGACTTCCGTACTATGTAAGGTTGTGATAACTGAAATACAGATTATTTTGGAGGGGGAACTAATGACAGTGATGAAGTAAATGAGGATAACACTACAGTGATTGTCATTGAGACTGCACACTGTCCCTGTTGGAGGTTTGCTGTTTCGTTGTGGGGTTTTTGAAGTACTGGAGTCCTGGAGCACCACCTTACAGTGGTACCTGATGTACAGATGGGGACTCCACTGGGTGAAGGGAATTGGCTAGGAGAGATGTCACGGAATTAGTAGCGTTACTAATGCTAATGGCTGAAGCTGGTGTTTCCATAGAGGAGCTGAAGAAATAATTAGGAGAGACTTCTTCATCTCTTGAGCGATTTGACATGCCAACCATCTGGCTTTGGTTGGGCTGAAATTCTCTGTCACAATTCTCCTAAGAACCATCTGAATTTATGGGTTGGCATCTCTTTAGTTACAGTGTATTCTTCTGTGTGGAATTCTTTTTCCCCAAATACTTAATAATCTCAAAAAGGAGCTGATGCCTTGCTCATTTCTAAAGCAAACTACAGGGTTATGCCTCTGGAAGATGAGGCACCAAGCAGGATCTTTCTGGTTTTCTGGTGACAGAATGCAGAGGACACAGTGAGCAAGGCACCAGCTGCAGTAGCTGCCAAGGAAGAGGAGGAAAAAGGTCCAAGTACTTAAAGTGCAGCTTCTGGTGCAGCTGGTTACAAATGTAGTGTTTGTGCAAGCAAATATAGCACACTTTGCCTTGGAGCAGTATGCATTAAATGTAGCTGGAATGTCTCCTTTTTGGAGTTTGGAAGGAATTTGAGTGCTGTTGCAGAAGCCAAATTGTATAGCAAGGAAACCATCAGGGTCTTGTGAGGTTGGTGAGGGTTTTGGGGGTTATGGGTAGGAGATGATGGTGCTGAGTATCAGCGTTCTGAAAGCTGTCAGCTGTGGACATGGGCTGAGGCTGACTGCACACATTGCAAACTGGTTCAGTGTGAGGCAGGTTTGCATTTCCCATTGATAGCAGGAGAAATGTGTCATAGATTGTGTCTGTACAAGGATACTGATGTCAGGTAAGTCACCACCTCTGTGCAGGTAAGTCTTAAGTAGTTGTTCTGGACAAAAATATGGCTAGTGCATTCTCACTCCCAGTCTAGCAAGAGACTGGTACAGGCAAAGCCAAGTCAATTCATTGTCAAGTCTGTCTGATGTGAATTTGCAAAGTAACCTGGTTTTAATCTTAGATGCCAGATTAAAACAGAGTTTGGTGCTCTTGAATGTCTCCAGATGGTTCTTGCTCCAGAGTAGCTCCATAGGGTAAGGCCCTACGGTGCATAACTCGTATGTCTCCGTGGAGCGGGGGTGAATAGAGTGTAAAATGACCACACATTTCTGCTCTGGACCAGACAGCAGCTGAGGGAGAACTGTGTTCCCTCAAGCGTTTCTGTACTGAATGTCACTAGTGAGCCTTCATTTTTGAGTGTGTAAAGGAGAAATGGAGAGGTTTAGTAGAAGTTTCTAAATGTTGACCATCTTGGTTACTGTTTGATGGAGTTCTTGTAGAAATTGAAAGCCCTGAGTTGTTGCTTTACCAGTTAAGACTGTTCAGTAAGCAAATGTCACTTGAACATAGGAAAGCGGGTTTCACATTGGGTGGATCTAAACTTCTGGTAATTACAGGCCACTTAGGCCAAGTCTAACAGGGCTTTTGATCTCCCAGCAGCAAGCAGTGCTTCCCAAAGCAGTTGATTTCATTGCTTTCTTTCCTTCTTTTAAAGGTTCAGCA